ACTTTTAAAGTTAATCAAGATACTCGTGTAGTATGAATATCCTTTCAAATGCAACTGTCAGTAGGATGCTGCACGTTACTACAAACACTGCTGTTCTTCCTCCTCCAGTTTTGTCTGCACTGCACTTAATGTTAGAGGCTAGTGTGCTTGCCAGTATTTTATCACAACTGTACCTGCGTATTCCAGAGGCTGGGAGGCTGCTCTTAAAATACAGTCCATTGGCTGAAGCAGAACAGTCAGTGCCTGAATCCTCACATCTTGTGGGCTTGAAGAAGGAAACAGCAGTTACCAAAACAGGAATACTTAAATTATTTCCCAAAATCTGTCCCTAAATGTTGAGCAGAATGGTTTTTTTTCCACACAGGCTTTTAAACAAGCCAGCAAGGCAAAGCAATTATAGTATTATCGCAGTTCAAGCATTCTTTCAAGATTCCCTGTCTAACTGAAAGCAGAGGAGAAATGGCTCTGGAATTCAGAAGCAGCCTTATCAAACTAAGCAAACAGAGTGGGACTCTGTGCAAGAAGGGGATTTAGAGAGAAGCATTTTTTGTTAACAAAATTATGTCCTTCTATCTTAAAACAGGTGTTACTTAGCCTGTCAATCAGTATCCATACATGCTGTATTCATCTGACAATTTCTTGATGCTTTTTTACACCCTAAAGGGGGATTACAGTGAAAATAGAGGCAGGCTTCTCGGGGCGCACAAGACATGAATCTTCAATTGCAAGAGGGTAGATTCCAACTTGATATACAGAAAATACTTTTCATAGTGAAATGAAAACGGTTAAGCACTGGGACAGGTTGCCCAGAGATGCCATGGAACCCTCAGCCTCAGGGATATTTGAAATTTGAATGGCGAAGGCCCTGAGCAACCTGATCTGTCTTGGAAGTCTGTCCTACACTGAGCAAGAGGTTGAATAAGATAAATTCTACAGGTTCCTTCTAATCCAAGTTATTCTGCAACTATCAACAGTCTCCAGATGTACACTTCTGCTGGACAACAGTGGAAGCTCTTACATCAGTCAGTGTTTTTGTGAAAGACAAAATGGAACAGAGACTACTGGATTTGACAGGCGGTCAAATTGTGTCCATCTTGGTCAACCTCAGCAGTATGAAGTTAAAGAGTTTTCCTATTTCAGGAAGAAATTGGCTGGCTGTAGGTAAGATGCAAGTGTATACACATAAACATTTAGTTTCTCTTTTTGAAAACTGTATTATTCTTACTATCAGTGTCTGAAGTTAGCTACTAGCATGGTTCTTGCCGACCACTTTTACATATTAAGGAATGTAGCGGAAAATGCAGCGAGTTAAAATACTGCTCTTGGAAAAACACCAAAGATATTAGTACAGAAACATTTTCCAGAGTCCAAAAATTTCATTGCAGGTAGTCCTACCATTTGTAGAGCCTCAGAATTCTCACTGCCAAAGGACCTGCTTGTACTGGGGTTAAGTGTTCTAAAGCAGAAGTCACCAATGCCCAAAAACTGCCTTCAGTGTCAAACACAGGAGACCTGAGAAGAAAGAAGTGTAAGTGATATCCTATTAGATGGTGGAAAACAGATATATCTCATCACTGGATCCAAGCTCCCAGATCTTTACCTTGACATTTTAAGCAAAAGATTTGCCAGCATGTGTTGTACTTGAAGAGTCTCTTCCATCAGAAAGGATTCTATTTGCTTTGCTATCCTTAACCAAAGTACTTCAGTCCACAGAGCATGACAGCTGCCAAACAAACTAGTTAACAGTTTTAATGACTGCTCAATGTGAGAGGCAGAGCTGGACTGAAGGGAATCTTCTATATGCTTTATAATCATTTGGGCACATGCTGGCCAGTCACAGTCCTTTGTAGTGAGAGGTATAGTTGTTTCAGACTCTACAGAGAGGGTGAGCATGTGCACCAGAAGCTGACTGGCAGCTGAAGCCACAAACAGGCTGGGATCCCCTTGCAGAGTGAAGACCACATCTATGCCTCCTGTGTGAAAACAAAACAAGTCACTGGAGGAAAAAACCAACAGCCTTCCTATTGTGAGGTGGAGCATTGTTGCACTCCAACTATATACTACTCTAATTCAAGTGCCACAGAGCTTTCAATAGTGTTGGTGTGGGATTTTGTACTTTATTTTGTAGTCTCTATGGCATTTCAAAGTCAGCCAGTCCTTACTGACAAACAAAAAAGAAGGTAAAATTGTTTTCATAATCTCTGGTGTTTTAGTAACTCAGGAACAGAATAGGGCTTTGATATAACGTTGGTAATATTAGAAGAGTTGACAGCACGCTCAACTCTGTATTTATGGAATGAGCCTGTACCATCTCTGGGCACAACCAGCAGGAAAAGCATTAATGGAAGCAACAGAACTACTTTTCCACCACATAGACAAATTGCATGTGGCATGTTATTACCAATCCAGTCTTTTAGGCCCCTCTGTACCTGGGTTCTAAAGTTAACAGCAGAATTTACCTGCATAACAACAATGGGAATATGAATGTGTGCAAGCATTAGGAGACAAATGAGCCCCTGGGTAGTTTTTCTGCTCTAAAATCATACTGAACCTTTCAATAAGAGTTACAAATAAGAATACAGAGGGCTTTTAATAAGCTATTTTTATCATGTGTTTCATGAGGTTTGCCTCTTTCCTCTCTAAAAAGGACACCATCCTCAGCATTTTTGGGAAAAAAATAATAAAAAAATTAAATGCATAACTAATTTAACAAAACCCCCACCATTTTTCAGTGACTTGCATATTTTTTACAAATGGCCTATTTTTATCTTGAGTAAATGAAAACTCCTTTCTTATTTGACATCTGAGCAACACACTGGAATGGAAGCAACACAGAGGATCTGGGGAGTTACCAGTCCCAGAAGTACTCACCACCTTCACAGAGGAAGTGGAGAGCAGGCTGGTGCTGCATCATGCTGTGCACACCATTCACCCAGCCACTTCGGACGGAGGCATCTTCCCACACAGCGCTGCTCAGGGGCCCATCCCTGCCAAAGAGCCTGACCAACAGCTTCTCCTGCTGAGGAGGCCAGAGGAGAACATAGAGCAAATAGTAAGCAAAGGGACTTGAGGGGTGTGGACAGGCTCCTCTGTCATCCAAGGCAAGAGTATCAATACTTAAGTGAAACCTTTCCTTCCTAGAAGTATCCCTAAAATAGATTTTTTTCAGAAGCCCATGCTTAAACTCAACGTGTATCTCTTTCACACACTAAGGCGCTCAAAACAAAAATCACTTGTTTTTAAAGTGCTAGTGACAACTTGCATAGGTATCAGTTCCATTAGACTACTTTATGCAATTGTATGCATTTCTTCCCTGAAGAAAGCCTTTTAGGTTTTGTACTATAAATGTATACTATTGTAGAAAGCAGGGCCTTAAATAACTCCTTCATTTTTGCAGGTAATCAGAGGAAAGCTGGAGGGAAAGCTACATCTGTCAGTGCAGTTAATATGTACAGAATCCACCCAGGGATACATCTTGCAATGACTGCTGTGAGATTGTGTTATCCCATATTCTGTGTTGAAGTGAAATTCAGAAGCACTACGTATTAACATTCATAGTATTACTGGGGCAAGACAGAAGAAGCTAGCAACTTTACAAGAGAACTGAAAAGGAACAGTATGATGGTGAGTCTTTATTATCATATCACTGTTTACTGAGTTGTCTGATGCATGCCATAAGCTATATAAGCAGACTATGTACATTTTCCTCCACATAGGAGGAAAGAGACACATGGCATCAGGTAACTGTGTAGCCAACTCACCTGCAAGTGATGGAAGCGGCTTTCGGAAGCAGCAAGTATCCCAGCTAACCGCAGGGTGAAGGAGAGGATGCTCGGACTGGGCTTTGGCAGCGCCAGCACGGAGGCAATGAACTCCATCAGACAGGGGTTGTCCTGCACCAGCTCCACGCTAGGATCTAGTGGCCGGGAATTGCACGAAGAGAGGAGAGAAGATGTAGGGTCACTACCAGGACTTCTGTCCTCCCTCGTAACTCCGAGCTGCTTGTAACTCCTCACAACAGTTTAGAGACGACTGTGGGCTCATCCGAAGCTCAAGCCCGGGTATCAAACAGCGCTTTCCGGTGTCACCGAGGGAACAGGATCTCTGAGAGGGGCTTGCCCCAGGGTCCCGGCCTGCATGCCTCCCTCCCGCTCCGACCAGTGCAAGCGGCGGGCACTCACCGACAGCCGTCAGGCTCCGGAACCAGTCGAGCAGCTTCTCCAGGCAGGTGTCATCGTAGCGGGGCTGTCGCGGGTGGGCCAGGGCAGCGCAGACTCGCGGCAGCAGCACTGAGCACTCGCGGGTCATGGCCGGGAGAAGGGACCGGGACTCCGGGGAGAACATAGTCACCCCGACACGGTGAGGGACCAGCCGCAAAGCGAGTGTCGCAAAGGGCGGCGGCGGGGCGTGGCCAAGGGGGGCGTGGCCAAGGGGGCGTGGCCAAGGAGACCGTTGCCAAGGAGACTGTTGCCAAGGAGAACGTTACTGAGCGGGCCCTGAACGCTCTCGGAGGGTCCCATGCGTGGCCTTCGGCCCTGTCGGCCTCTGTGGGAGAGTCAGGAGGAGGCCCCGTGGGTGCTCCAGCGGCAGTACCCGCACGGAGCTGCTCTCAGAGCCGTGTCTCTACGCTTGTCCCTGCGCTCCTGCCTCTACACCCTGCCGACGTTCCTGCCGCTCGGGGCCGCTTGGTGGCACTCGCAGTCCGCAGCCGGGCCTAAGCCCGCCCGCATGCCTGCATGTTCTCCAAGGCGGTGGAGCTTTTGCGGGGGCCGCACCCGCCCCCCCAGGTCCCTCTGCGCAGGCGCTCTCGTGTCCCGCGCAGCCGTCTAGCTGCTGGTTGCCATGGTTTCAGCAACCCGGAAGCGCTGGCGGTGAGAGTCCGGCCTGCCGTGTCTGCCCGCAGCCCGCCAAGGCCGCGGAGGGGAGGAGCTGGTAAGGAGCGAGGGTGAGGAGGAGGAGGTGGCCTCAGACCGGGGCAAAGCCTGGACCCCCCTCAAGCTGGACGGGCTGGTGAGGCGGTGACTAGGAGGATGGCGCGGGGGGTGGTTAGGGTTTGATTCCAGGTGGAGGATTTGAGGCCCTTTAATGGGAGCCACTATGTGCTCTTACCTGTCGTAGGTGGCTCTAGTTGGGCCTGCTTTCCAAAAGGAAAGGGAGTGTGAGGGTTTCCAAGGACTGGTGTTTTTGTTATTGCACGTTAATATCCTGGTGGATGTGCTGTTGTTTGCCATCTCCTGTCGAGGCTGAGCGCCTTCTGTATTCTCTGATTCCTAATGTGATAGCTGCAGTGGGGTAGAGAGATCTCCCACAGTGAGAGGCCTTAAAATAACAGCAAATAATCAGTGTGCTGCAAGGAACATCGCCTCAGGAAATTAAAAACTATGTGGCATGGTGTGTGAGATGTATACTTGCTTGCTCTCAGCCAGCACAAAAAGCTGGTTTACTTGCTCTGCTGCTGTCAATCCCAGCCCCTGTTATGTCAGCCAGGGTTCTCAAAAAGTATTTCACATTGCCCTGCTTCTTACAGACATCGGCATCTATCCAAAGACTCGTGCTGCAGCTGTGAGCCTAATGGAGACAGCACCAAGTGAAGATGCTCTTTTTCCGAGGGCAGCATACACTCAGGTAACTTGAAAGCAAAGCACAATTTTCCTTCTACAGTGGAAATGTCTGTATTTGAGAAGCAGAGAAACTTGTTAGCTCAAGCTGAGGAAAAGTTCACCACTTCTTTGATTCCTTGGTTTGGGGTTTTTTATCCTCAGCCTGATGACTTCTCCAGTTGAGTTTACTGAGTGTTCCCATAACATAACATAGCATAGGAACAAGTAAGTGAGGAAGAGGACAGATAGATGAGTTGCTGCTTAACTCTTACCAGTGGACTGATGGTGGAAATCTGCTCAAATCCAGCACCATGGAAGATGAGGCACCAGAAGGTTCAGCTGTTGTAATGCTCTGTGCTGAAGTGCATTAAGTCTCTGTGACTTGAGGCTGAAGTGACTTGCACTGTGTCACACAGAATGTTTGTGTTGGAGCAAATGATGCTGGGTTTTGCAACAATGTTGACACATTTACCATTTGAATTTATTGCACTCTAACTTCGTTGTGATAGTAAAAGGATACAAAGTTTTCTGGGTGTGTATTATAACCGATTGTTTAGTAGCACATGTCACAGTTAATGCCTCTCATTTCCCAGGGAGATGACGGCCCATCTGCGATGACCTGTGAATTGGATCCAGAACTGGTGAGTTTTATTAATGGAGTGCTGTGGATGAATGCTTTAAAAGGCCTCTTGGCATGTTCTTGCGCATTTTACATCAGCATGATGTCTCCTGGTTGGTAAGATACTCTTCAGAGGGATAGCTAACAATATTATTGCAATGTAGTTCATCCAAACCCCTCTAATTCCAGATGGAATTCAGGCATCTGAATTCTCAGCACTTGGGGCTGCAAGTGACGTTGGGCTTCACTTTGCTGTTCTATAAAGTTATGGGCCTATGTAATTGTTTTACAGAATTTTAATGGAATTGAGTAAGGCTTTCCTCTAGCTAAATGCTTCTGTAGATTAGCCTCTACTCTGTGATCATCTTGAATTTGCTGCTGCTCTTATTTAATACCAATGGGGAAGGTCTTAGTGTTCTGAGCATGAATAGACTACTTCCTATCTGCAGTGTAAAACCTCAGTAGGCACCACCTTAATTCTGGTCACTGTTGCCAAATCTGCATATATTTACTGTGTTTTTAAAACAAATTAGCTTCATACAAAATGGAGCTTGAAGCCAATTTTGAGATTATACACGGAAATCTTTGACAAGTAGAATATTTTAAATACATAAAAAAATTCTTTGTCTCTTCCAGAAGTTAAAGAAGAAACTTTTTACCAAGCCTCCGAAGTTACCAAGTAGTAAGTAGCAAATTTTTTTCTTCTGCTTCTGTTATTGCAGAACAAGAGATTTGTGGGACACAGGAACTGGAAGATTCACTTGAAACAACATCTTATTATTCTCCTTAGAATTATTTACTGGTGTGTGCGGAGTGCACCTATCTGAGATTTGTTCTATAACCTGTGAAGTTAGACTTTTATAGGCTAAATACTGACGTTAATAGTTTAGTTGCATTTCTTGCTTCTTCCATATAAACTACTTCCTTCTTATGTTATCACTTCTAATGGCAAGCATTCTGAATTTCTTTTTCGTTTTGGAGAAATGTTGATACTTGCTGTACAGAAAGAATCTAGAATTCCTGCACCTGTATACCATCCAGTAGATACCTGTGTTTGCAGAGTAAGCAGTTCTCTTATTTGTTGGTTGGTTTTGTTTGTGTTGTTCTGTTTGGGTTTTTTTCATGTGACCATAGAAGTGCAATGTTATTATTCGATCTGCAGTTTTAATGTGGCGTTTTATCTTTTTTGGGGGTCTTTATGTTTCTTACTTTTCCATTTACTTTCCTTTGTATAGGTCCAGTGAAGATTTCAAAGAAGACTTTACCTCAAAGTGTTGCTGAGTGTTTTGTTTCTAATAAGTTAAATAATGTTGTACTTTTAAGCTTGGCTTTAGGTTGAGGAAGAGGCATGCTGTACATCTGTCTTAATGCTTTTCCTGAAATCCCTTTGCTTGACTAAAGGATGGAATTTAAAATAGCTGTTTCATTTCCACTATGATGTTTGTGACATTGTTTCTTAATGTATGTACTTCTCATGGTGATTTGAAGAGTAACTAGTTAGTCCATTTAGCACACATCTGTATTAATAATCTAAAGTGGAATTACTGTCAGTATTTGAACGTGACTGCCATACCTGAAGCAGTAATGTGAGGGGTTCCCCAGAAGTTGCATCAGAATGATTCTGTTCTTCAATTACTGCAAGAAAATATACATTAATTCAAAGGTTAATTTAATAAATGAATTTAGACATGCGGGTATTGTACAGTTTGGATAGGCATTCTTACACGTAACTATTTCTTCTTGTGTTAAGTCATATTCCTGTCATTATGCCTCTTTATAAGCATCTTTATTTCTTTGGGAATTAGATTGATTTTTCTTTATGATGATTTTTTTTTCCTGTAGTTTAATGTCCCACTGCTCCTTATAAACCGGTACGTAATATGCTGTTAATTCCTATTTTTATAAGTAATAGAATTGTGTGTGTGAGCCTTGAAGTATGAGACAAAGAGAATTTTTGTGACCTTGAGCTTTTTAAGGCAACACTGAGATATTCCCTTTTGTTACAGGATCTCCATACAGCACACAACTGTATTCCAGAAAAGCTACAGTTTGGCCTTCTCCTCAGGGAACAGGCAGTGAATATCTTGAGAGTGCAGATGTAAAAAAACAAAGGCTAAGATCACTGAAACAAGGTATTGGTATAGAAAATTTATCTGCATATATGGATAAAAATCAGTGTTGTGGAGAGCTTAATGTATAAACTCTTAAGAAACAGATTTGTGTTTCATTATGGGCTACATACAAAGTCGTTTCATTATTATTTGTTTGGGTGGTTGGAATTATCTAATCTGAAGCACTGGCATTTGTAGACAGAATAATTAAAACATCTGGAGCTTTCTATATTGCATTTGCTCAAAATAAATCCACAAAGTTAATTCAGAGTTATCCCTGGTTTTTGCATTTTTTGTTCCATTTTTATTGGCAGGAATGAGCTATCCTCTGAAGTCAGATGTTGACATGGGGCATGTGCAAGCTGGTTTTAGTAGCACTCCGGAATATTTGAAGGAAGTTCTAGGAACAAAGACCCCGAAACATTCTTGTTCTTCTAGCAATGGTAAGCTATGTAATGGTGTGGTAGATGAAAGTTAATGATCTTTGTTCTCTGTGTAAAAGCACACACTCCCTAAGATCTTAACTTTAGTAAAGCAAAAGCCATTTTGGTTTAGCCTGTATTAAAATATGTGTTGAAATATGATCCATGAGATAAGTTTTGAGATTTCTAAATTGGATAAGATGGGGGGTTCCAAATTTTTGGGAGCAATGAATCACTATTAGCTTTCAGAACTTTCTGCAAATTGCCATGCATTTGCAGCTGAAAACGTTGCAAATATAATATGGTTCAATGGGCCAGCTGTAGACAATTTATTGTGACTTTGTAAAACATAGTTTAGGAACCATTGATAGAAACCATCTGCTTGCCTCAAATTCTATGTAATTGACTCCTTTTACTTCTCTTGTTTTATCATGTGGTTGTGATACTAAATTAATTGAGTTTTATGAGAAGAGCAAAATGTAAAACTTTTATCCTGCTTTTCTTAAAGGAGAACTGTAAGCTTAAAAAATCCCACTTACTTTTGAAACAATACCTTGCTGGTAGTACACAGCTTCTGGCAACTTTAAAAGCTGGTAAACATTTACATGTCAGGCAGAAATAGGTAAACAGATTATGGCCATCTTTTAGAAGTCTTTTGTAAATAATTTTTTTTTGATGAGAAGACTGCAGTCTTCTATGAAGTGCAGATCTTTCTTGAGATGGATATTTCAATGTAGCACCATAGAGAAGAAGTTAGGAAAAATTGGCTGTAAAATCTGGCAGAAGTTTTATACAGTAACATTTTCATTTCACCTCCATTTCTAAAGTCGATTTTCACGCTGGAAGCCTAGTTTCCAGTTTAGTGCTGTTCTAGGTATTTTTCTCTAAGGTTTTTGATTAAAAATACTTCTTTTGGATCTGCTTATTTTACATACCTTTTTCTGTAGGCTACATTCCTGGGAATCCTAACTACAAAGACAAAGAAGATATGTATGATGAAATTATACAACTGAAAAAGGTACAGTCTCTGTGATACTTACATAGAAAGTCACAGCGTTGCTTCATCCAGACCTTATTGATTCAGATTACTTTGGTTTCTACTACTGGGACACCCACCAATTTTTTTTTGCATTTGTAATGTAAGGCTAAACTAAACTTGTGTCTGTTTAAGGCAATTTCACTGTTCTTATGGTGTGATAGATGCTTCTGAGTACTGGATGTGGAAGCCTTGAGGTATATCCAATGCTGAACCCCAGCCATGGCCATAGCTGGATGCTGAAAAGGTTCATTGCATTTTGGTTTCTTTGTCTCCACCTCCTTTTTTAAATCTTACCTCCTTCCTGACTGTGACCCATCACATCTTAATACATTTTCAGTTTAGTGCAGTGAAACATGAAGCATGAGGATTTGGCATGTTGCACACTAGGGTTACCTCTGTGCAAACATCTTGGCTGTTGTAGATCATTTGTGTAAGGTTGTCTTTCTGTTAAATCTTTTCTTTTTATCTTTGCCCTGTCACCCCCCCTTATCTGTCAGCCCTGGTCCAGTGTGGTGATATCTTTTGTAGTTCTTTTTTTTTTTAACTCTTCATCCTCACCATCATAATTGGATTGGTTTTGACATCAAAGCGTGTTTCCATATGAAAACTCAGTGCATTTCTATTTCTGAAATACGCTTATGATTTTTTGCCCCCTCTTTCAGACAGTACAAGCTCAGAAAATTGAGAGAAATCAAATGAAAACTAAGCTTCGTCAACTAGAAGAAATGATCAATAGAAAGGATAAACAAATTGAAAAGCTGTTGGATCCTTTCAAGGTCACTATTTCTTGTGGGGGGATAAAAGTGGGGCAAGAGTGCTGAGCAGTGTGATCCTCTTGTCTTTCCAGGTTTCAGAAGCTGTAGTGTGTTTGTTTCTAGGAATGATGAGCTCGAATATGAGAGGTGGTTGGTTGGTATGAATGGATTTCTGTTTTGTGTATCTCAGCTTGCCAGCTCAGTTCAAAGGAAGATCATGCCATAATGTGCAAACAAATTTACTTAGCAAAGGTACTTACTGAAGGAAAAAATGAGATGCTGTCTCTGTACAGGCCTGCTTTCTGCATATTTTTCCTGAGAGTAAAAGGGATTTAACCTCTTGCATGATGACTGATGCAGGCAGTCCTGAGACCTGAGCCAGGAAGTAAAACATAAGCTTTATTGTCAGGCCCATAAGGCTGAGAAGCATTTAGGGTCATGGTCAGAAGACCTGAATTTCATGGAAATCCTTGTAGCTCTCACTTTCTCTGTGCAGTTCTATATCTTGGGAGAAGCATGCTAATACAAAAGAATGAGCACAGGGGCCTCAGAACTTAAGCTGTTGGACTGTTTAATGACTGTGGAGAGGAGTAGGATAGAAAATTCTGTGGAAAGAGTCAGCAATAGAATAAAGTAGCAATGTTGGTCATTTGCTTTATATGTCTTACCAGGGCTCCGAGATGGGACAAGCTTTGTCAGAAAAGATGAATAATAATGGATGGGTAATAGTTTCTTCATTACGTTTTGCTTTCCTTTTTCCTCTTGCCAAGCTGAAACGCTACCGATTTAAATAAATAATGGAGTGAAGTAAGAAAGAATAAACAATTAGGGAATCATGTTACCATCATTTCTGTGGTCAGATAAGAAACCAGTAACAAAGATCTGGAATTAACGTTACTTTAGGGAGATTTCTTTGTCATTGTCTTGAATGTGTTTAGGAAGCATTCTCCCTATCACTGGCTGCTTTGAATTTAGCAGGGTGATGGGCAAAATGTTTTTTATTTAATGATTGTGTGTAAATGTTGTATCTGTGGTAACATAACCAGCTTAAATTAGGTATCTGAATTCATCAGTGTTGCCTTTCACAGAGGGTAGCAGACATGCATATGATTTACTAAGTACTGAAGTATATAGGAATAAGTGTATCTAGTTAGGTACAATTTATAAAGACAGAGGAAGATTATGGAGAAATAGAACTTCAGTGAAGAGATGGGTTGTTGTAGTACTCATGAGCTTTGTTCTTTCTGTAGGTGGCTAATGGATTGAAGCAGAGGATTCTCAAGCTACAACAATTGTGGAAGGAGAGAGACAAGACTATTAAGTATGACTTTTTTGGCTGGGGGTAGGATAGAGGCTTGTATTAGATAGATGATAAAGGCAATTTGAAGTCCATGTTATTTTCAATCTGTATTCTTCTGTCCCTTAAGATGTTTTAATGAACTCTGAGAACATGTTAGTAATTATAAACAGCCCAGACAGAAATTTTTACCAAAAAGCATTGCAGCATCTTTGATGGTCTGACTGGATTATTCTATTTTAGCAAATTCCAGGCAGACATGAAGTCCACTAATTTGGAAGAAATGAAGTTAGCTATGGAAACCTGCTCTGAAGAGGTATGTCTGAAACATCTTTCCTTGTGCATAAGGAGAGGAAGCTTTTCAGTGATTGAGTCAAAGTGTAAATGGACTGGTTTAGATAGTTTTTACAGCTTAGCTGCACCTGTAAGTGGAATCAGATTTTTTTAGATACTCTCATAGCTCCAATTATTTTTCCTCAAGAAGCTGAGTGTGTTAACAAAAAGGGGGAAATAACGAAACGAATGTATATCCCGTAAGTGTAGTATCTAGAGGAAAGCCAATATAACAGTAACCTGGCATCATTGCCTCTATTGCTGCCCAAAGAATCTTGTTCTGATTTTCACCTAATGGACAAATGTGTGGTGTTAGCAATGTCAGCTTGCACAGCTAGCTCCTTAATGGAATCTGTATTTCATATTTCACAGGTTCATCGTCTCCAACAGCTCCTGGAGAAATCTGAGGCTATGAGGAAAAAGTACGTTAAATTCTTTTGAGGAAAATGTTTGCATATATGTGTTTGATATATCATGTATTATTTTATGGTGGAAAACAGCTACATGGGAACAGCTTATTTTGTCATTTAGATTGATGGATTTGCTTTTTGGTACTGCTTTGGTTGGCTTCACAGCCTTGGCATGTCTTAGTCACATCTTTTTCTTCTAGGTAATTTTGTGGATGTGGGGAGAAAAGAGCTATTTGAGAAGTACAGGAAAGCTTTGAAAATTTATCTGTTAAATAAAACCCATCTTCCCCCATAATCACATGTATTCTGATATCACTGGTGACTGCAACAAACTCGCTAGATATTTAGCGTTTTATTCTTGAGTCAGGTCTGCATCTTGCTCTAAAGTGTATGCTGCTAAGAAGGTATTTTGGAGTAAACATTTTCCTGTGGTACACAGATCTAGAGGTCAGGGTAGCTCTTATGAGTTGTCCATGAGCAGCACCAGTAGGAAACTGTCAAGCTTGTGCTAGTGGTTGTCACTACTATGTGGGTTTATACATGGTGATGGGAATAAATAGTCTACAGAGGAAATAAAAATCAAAAGCACAACAGCAAAAGACAAAGCTCCAGAAAGAAAATTAAAAACATCTATGCAAGGGAGTGTTATTCTTGCTGAGAAGAGGGTGATAGAGTCTTGTAGGGTTGGAAATTTTTTTACCACACCACTTCAAAATGTGCTTGTCCTCCTGGTGTTACGTACAGACAACTGTCTTAATTTGGGTTATAATTATTTAGACTGATAGAAACACATGAGAACTCTTTATGGATCATGATGTGTAACTACTTGTGTTTCCCTGATTCACTGTGTCTTGTGGATTGGAAAGTGCAATTTGTTTTGTCACTGTTTTTAAAAAGGTAAGATCTCTTTTGGCCCAGGCATGCAGTGACTGGCCTCTGGAGGCTGTAAGCCATCACACCTCATTTATTTACAGGTGGAAATGAGTCATCAGGTCTCTTCCTTGTTCTTAATTTATTCATAGCTTCAAAAAGCAGTGGTCAGGGCAGTCTCTCTCCATTATGTGACTGTCAGTCTCTACTTCAGAGGCTGAGAGCTGAAATAATAAGTGATGTTGAAGTTCAGGACTCTGGCACATACAGTTGTAGGAGAGTTGTTTCTTTCGCTATGCTTGTCTACATTATTTCTGGCTGAAGTAAATCACATTTAGCTTTCCTTTTTCAGTGTTAATGCTGAAATACGATTGCTTATATATGAAGCTGTAGTATCCAGTTGTAGCTAAAAACTAGGTGACCTTTCCAGTGCTCAAAATGGTCTGCAATTCTTTCATTGTTTTGATGAGCATCAAATAATGTCACTCCGTGATACAGTGAAGATTCCTATCATTTCTATCACTTCCAATTTTTGGTTGTGTTGTGTTCTGGGTTTTAGTTTTGGAGTTTTTTTACCTTCTGCCTGGCACAACTCATGAACAGACATCCATGGCATGTCAACCTTATTTGTTTGTGTATATGGCTTAATTTCCTTTTCATATCCAAAAGGAAGATTAGATTCAGCTTTTCAACCTGATACTCTAACTGTAAACTTGTTTCTCCCTTTACCTTGTAATTATTCCAGTGGCTGTGATGTGAGATTTCTTTGCACACTATTCTGTCATTGTCATTTGTCCAAAAGTAGGTCCATCAGTTACTTCAAACCTTTGTTTCCGTAAGTTTTTAAGAACTTTCTCATAGCAATGAAGTATTTCATCTCACTAGGAATCTATTTTGTTAACAAACTTTACAACTTTTTTCACATCTATAAAACTGAGATTTCTTCCCCATTTATTAGAAAAATGAAAAAAGGCAAAACCACTCTAATATGTTTAAAACAACTGTAACACATAACAGGTTTTCCCTTTTCTGATGCTTTTTACTCCCATCACGTTGATGATAGCTGTATTCTTCAAATCTGTTTCAAATCTCACATTGATTGAAATGTATCTTAAATGAAGAAAGAGATCTCTCTGGGGTTTGCTTTCACAGGAATAGTCTCTTTTACCCTAGAACAGCATTCACATCTGAAAATACACTTGTGTTGGATTTGAGAGTTATTCCATCTATAGCCCTCTCTCTCTCCCAGTACAAATCTGTTAAGTGAAGGAAAGCAATTCAGAGCACGCAGGTTAGCTTTCCATGCTGAACACTTGTTTGGAGGAGCCTCCTGGTTGGCTGAATATAAATGATTTTAAATCAGTTGTCTGTAGAGCGCCAGTAAAGCATTATAAGGTTGGTTAACAAAATAAATAGAAACCCAAATAAGTAAAACCCATACAAGCACCCTTGATTATGTGTTAATGAAACAGAGGGGGGGAGGAAGTAGAAGTAATGAGCTTTCAAAGTATCTTTTTTCTTTGACACAAATTAAAACAGTTGTAGAAGTGTTGAGCAAGATGGTATTTGAATGTTTTTTCCTAACAGAATAGGTAAGTCAAGTAAAAAATGTTGAGAAATGCTGTTGGAGGGGAGCTGAGACAGTAACACAGTGATGCTGTTTCACCTTTTTTGATGCTGCTGCTTTGTTCTCTGCTTCTAAGTTAACTTTCTGGTTTTGATTCCATTTCAAAGTACAGAGAGCAGAGAGACCCAAAAACACCTAAAGGCACTGAATGCTGCTGTCCTGAGATTATGCAGGACCATCAAAAATTTGCAGGCTGAGAATCGGAGGCTGAAAGAAGATTTAGATCATGTACTGTGCAGTTCTCCTCCTTCCAATGAAACAGAAAGTACGTGTGCTGAAAACTTGGTGAATTTGGGGCAAGGGATTTAGGTACATTTGAAAGATGTGTTTGAGAGCAGGACACTACAGTGGTACAAATAAGGGAGTTATTACAAGAGTGAGGATTCAGGAGGGGCAAAGGCTGGAATAAGAAGTTTCTTACAGAAATCTGTGACTTCTGGATGTGCTGCTCCAGTCAGACCTGGGTTTCCTTTATTGTTAACCCTGAGAATTCTGGACTGGAATCACTTGAAAATATAAGTTTCTGAAACTGCTGAATCTGAATGGTTTATATTGATAACTAATTGATGCAGAAGTCAGATATTTTAAGACCATTCTCATTTTTTCATTGGTGCACATTTACAGTTGGGGTTCAGAGGTCTTTAGATGGTCTTTCTATATGGACAGAAGTTTCAGAAAAGCAAGAACGATGTTGACTCACTGCTACAGTTTCATGTTTAAAGCTTTGTTATTGTATTTAGATTACAGTGAGTGGAGCATACCCAGGCTGGTGAGGCGGATTTCAGAACTAGAAAATGTAAGTGCTCATAATCATAATCTTGCCTGTCTTTGAGCAAAAGATGCAGAACCACTGGCTTGTGCTCATGGCATGTAGTCCTTCAGACTATCAGCCTTGTGTGTTCTGCCTCATACATGTAAACTGATGTCTGTACCATGTGCGCCTTCTCCTTTTTTACTTTTCTCATACTTGTTACATGTAGATGCACATTCTAGAATTAACTTCCACTTCATCTTTTCTCATGGCCTAAATAAATAATTTTATGTTAAATTTAATTTTCTGGGTTTTTTTTTTTTTCCCCCTTTTTATTTTTCTTCATGTAAATTTTATCCTGTTTAGAAAATAAATGCCATGGAGAACGCCAGGGTGCCATCAGCAGATACCTGTGAGTCAGAGGTATTTTCTCCACCATGTTCAACTTCCGAAGACCTGGATCATCCAGTCTCTCAACAAGTAGACTATCTTGAGGAATGTCATCGCCTCCAAGAGCTAGTGAAGAAACTCCAGAAAGATAAGAGGGCACTTCAAAGTTTCTTACTCAGTAAAGAGTAAGTGTGACTTTTGTCTAAGATATTGCTCTTTACTATGTATGAATTAGTATTTCCTATCACGTTGTGAAATGATGTAACAAGTTCTTCATATTTTCAGTAAGAAAACGAATTTGGAGGGTCCCTTCAGCTTTTATTTCAAAAACTACTTCTAGCTCTGTAAAATTACATTGCAGGAAAAAGAGGCTGGAAAATGAGAATTTCTGCTTGTTCCTAACGCATTTTTTCAAGGCATATTTTTTGCCAACCACACTGAAAAGCCTTTTTGGGATTATATGTCACTTTACACAGCAAGAATTTTGCTGTAAAAACTTTGTCTTATTTTTCAACATTTTGTCCTGATCTACCACTTTCTCCCTTTATTAAAGCCTGCCTTCTGCCATGTGATGCAGTGGGACTTCTTTTCTCCCCAGTAAGCAATTGATTTGCAGTTTGTATTGCTTGGACTCATTTGATGTGTCAGTGCATAAGGGCAGGCAGGTTAATCTCTCACATGAGCAGAGATGTGCACACAACTATGTGTTGTTGATAAGATGCTGCCTCCTGTGTAACTTGCCTCTGATCAAGAATGAATGTGTGGAGAGGCCTTTTGCTTCTGAACAACGTATGCTTGCATTTTGTTTTGTTTAAAAGGGGAAAATGAAACAGTTACTTTACAAATTGAGAAAACCTATTTTATGTAGGAGTTCAATCAAACAATAACTTTGTTGAAGTATGGATGTCCTAAGTATTGCTTAGATCTCCTTAATACCTTTTGTAGATTAGATATCAAGCAGTTACTGGAGGCTAAGGTTGAAGTGGAGCTGCAGAAGTGTCAGAATAAGATATACAGAAGTGTCAGAAAAGAGTGCAGGACAGCAGACTCTAAGGAATCACATTTTGTATTGGTAGATCCTTTCAGAACCACAAAAAATACCTGTCAAAAGTATAATTCTCATTTGAAGTGGCTAAAAATCCATGTGGGTTCATCTGAACTGCAGGAAGCTGGGAATTCATTTAAACAGAACTGGTTAGGAGGGATGGTGTAAGTTACTAGGGGAAGAATTCTACAGTGTTTTTAAGGGAACTGGAAGACCACATAGTATAGGAAAAATAAAAATAATTGTTGAATTATAATAAAAATGAAGAAGATAAATGGAAAAAGAGAGCTGCCATGTTGGCCTCAGGGACATTTTTTCTTTCTAAGAAAGAACTGTAGTATCTATACCTTATCTTAGCCTATGTTCTAGACCATTGCTAATATGTCATTCCATTTACTTCATGTAATTTGTAACTAAGAATGTAATACTTCATGTATTTTGTATAACTTGGTAATGATCCTGTGCAAGAGTGGCTAAAAGAAGTGATTTCATTATTGCTTTGCAGGAAAGGACTGTGACAAATACGAAACTGTAGCAGATCTCGATGCATTATTAAAAGTATCAAGGGTACCATTGTAACATTGGGACGTTCTGATGCTAATGTAGGCTGTCCTATCACAACTTGAGAACTGCTGTCACATAGTGTGAGGTGTCCCTGCCCATGGCAGGGGGGTTGGAACTAGATGATCTTAAGGTCATTTCCAATCCTAACTATTCTATGATTCTATGTCTGTTACTGTGAGAAGATGTATCATGTTATTCTGAGCAGTTTCACACTTTGGCCTTAAAAACCCCAAACAAACAAACAAAAAAGACAGCCAAATCTCGTGAATTAGGCTGAATATTTTCAAAGCAGTAACAACAGATAATTACTACCTATAAATATTTTTGCTTTTCCAACCTTAGAGTGGAAATCGAGAACCTGACACAGAAATTAGGGAAACACGAGCCAAAAGAAGAGGAAAAGAAGAGTCAAGTGGCAGAAGATAAAGTGGAAAAGGGTCTTAAGGTACAGACATGTTTTTGTTTGGATGGTGGTGGTGGTGTGTTGTTTTTTCCCTTTGCATCCAAGCAATAGATTGCAAATTGAGCTGATAGTCTAAATAGCTGCTAGCTGTGTTTTTTCAGAGAGACATTAAATCTTGTCATAGAGATTTGAAATGATGATTAATTCCCAGCATTTGTTGATAAGTTGTTTCAATAATTGCCACTGCAATTATTTTTTTTTTTTGGAGCTTTTCTCTTGGTGAGTGTCTGCTTTTGCTTTTTCCTTATTCAGTGGAATGTTGCAAAAAGCTTCTGCTTTTTAGTGTTTGGGGATTTTGACTTAAAAAGAAAGACATTTGTGGTTTTCCTTATATCTTCTTATAACATCTGAACTCATTAGCTAATTTCAGTCAAGTTTTGGAGAGGGAGGGAGGTCTTGTAGGAGTTGTTAGGTAAAGGACAGAGGCACAGGTAAGTGTGATAAGTCACTGGCAGACTGGCAAAAGACAGAAGACCCTTTTCAGTGATTTTTATGCTGGTCAAGTGCTCAGTTAGAGCAATTCAGAAAATATTCATTAGCTTTTTTCTTTGGATGCAATCAGGGTACTTTTCCATGGGATGGGTTACAGGATGTAGAGCACTAATCATAAAAATAGAGGTTTTCTCAATTCCACTGATGATGGGATGCCATATTTGAGTAAGAATTAGGAAGGATGGATATCAAGAAATAAAATAAACCCTTATCCCCCTTGGAAATGAAATTTTTCTGGAGCTGAGTTATTCATAACCTCTTCTGTCTGGATTTTCCAGTATCTAATATATTTGGGTACCTGTTATTCCTAAACAGTCTTAAATGGAGTTCTCATCACTTGGGGTTTTTTTGGTGCAATATGATTTAACTTGGTGTATTTGCAATCTTCTGTCCCTCTAACAAATGTTGATGTCACTGGCCAGTAGGGATGAGTGGCCACTGTCAGACATGTTTTTTTCACATGCAGTATGGTCATATTAATCTAATTCCACTAAAAACTGAAAATTGAAAATTATTCCTGGGGATTTTGATGACTTGTACTTAAAAATAAATAGACCCTGAAATACGGGTAGTAAAAAATATGAATAAAAATGTCCACTAGCTTAAGAGGATGCTAGTTTTTTATATACTCTGCAACTCCTTAGATTCTTTTTTGTGAGTTATAGGCTGATGGATGCTAGATGATGTTTTGAATACCAAATAACTTGAGCCTTTAAAAACAGCCAACAAACAGCTCTTTTTTTCCCTCTGCAGACTATATATATTCTTGGCCAGTAACCATCCTTTTATTGAAATGTTCCCATTATTTGTAATTATCACTAAGTTCCTACCAGTTTTTCATTTTAATAGTAGGTTGTCATTTTTAATATAACATGATCCATTTGCTAAACTTAAGCCTGTAACTCAGTGTTTTTAGGTTATAAATAAATCATTTTCACAGAATCAAGAGGTTTTTTTCTGGGTCTACCAAGGCTCTTATTCCTCTACTTACAATTTTATATCCACAAATTAAATTAGTCTTTTAAAATTGCAGCTAACTTTTGTTTGGCAGGTGAGGCATGACAATTAGTACAGGATAATTAGGGATCAAAAGGATCAACTGTTGAGAGGTGGAGTATGCAACCACAAATCAGAAGACATAACTGGAACAAAATCTTGTTTTGTTCTTGTCTTCTTTTACCTCTAATTTTTTTCTTCAAGATAGAAGAGTAGAGTTATGCCAATTTACACAAGCTTTCTGTCTTGTTGGAGTCATATGGTGGCAAACTCATCAGTAAGCTTAAACAGATGATTATGGGACCACAGTTGCCAGGATGAGACATCAGAGAGCTCCCCAGTTAATTAGCACCAGTCTTTCCTGGAGAAGAATTGCAAAATCTGGTACCCTGACATTTGTTCTCAGTCTGTTGATAATATAAAAGCTATTTCTGATCAACAAAGCAGTGGGTTCCTCTGTTGGAGCTCTTACTGCTTTACCAATGCATATAAAAATAGGAATATGTGTAAATGAAAACCTTTCCATTCCCATGCTCTGCTAACAGCTAAACTGGGGACAGCTATGTGTTTTGGTGTAACGGGCATTTAGATGATGAGTTTGAACAAGACCAGTATTCCAAACTAAGAGTTTCCTCTGTAACTTCCTTCTGCCCTGCAGGTAGGATGAACATTTAACAACTCTGGTGCTGATTTATTTGTAACTTGTTTCCCTCATAGAATTTCAGCTTGTGTCTTTAGTGTACCAACTTAAAGATTCTCTTTTGCAGTTTTCACTGCAAGGCAAAGATCATCAAAGGAGAGAAGAAGCAGCCAGAATCATCCAGAGGTACTGGAAGAAGTATCAGGACAAGGTGAGATTCTCCTATGGGGGAATAGTGAGGATATTCCCCTCTGAATCTTGCTCTTGTTTTAGTACGTACAGTAACCTGCTGCCAGGCTTCAGGAATTACAGCAGTGCTTCCCAATACAGTTCCTTACCACCATCTTCTCTTCCACTGCTTTGTTCAAGTCCTGCCTGCTGCTGCTTTTGCCTTTGATCTCTAGAATCCTGTTGTTTCTATTGCAGGATAGCTGGTTTCTGAATGGGGAAGTCTGGGTGAGCAGGGAAACAAAGGAAGCCTAGCAGTGCTTGAAGCAGCATCACTGCTGTTGGCCTCCTTGGAGTATGACTGAGAAGTTGAATACCCCTTGCAGAAATCCTTCAAACAGTACAGGAGTTCAACTATGACAAAATGATGTAAAGAAAAAGCATTAACCTTAAATTTTGTTTTATGGGCAGAAACATAGTGTTGCTTTTTCCATGTATAGGACCTATAATGTGAGGTGGGTCTTGTAGTTGCTTTTTAGGAAAATAAAGACGAAAGTACTATCCACACATCTTCCAAAGATGAAAAGCTTGGGTATTTTGCTCCCTTAAGTTTGTTGTTGGAGTTTTTAGGGGGAGGAAGGACAGGTATTTTCTGCGTTGTAATTGTTGGGGAAAAAATGGGAACTCTTTATTAGATAATGGCACAGATATATACAAGTTTTAACTTTGGCATTTTCTATTTCAGCGAGGCGTAACTGATCTGGACAAGGTGAGTGTACTTATGACAGCCAACAAAACAGTAAAACAGATGTAATTCATATCAAAACACATAGAAATAACTTTTATTTTAAAGAAGTTTCACTGCAGTACAAGCTGTTGTACCAAGATCGTGTTTGTTCTTCAGGCTGGCTCATGATCTTCCTTCTAACATCCCAGTTTTGTTTGATGTATCTTGTCAAAGTGTTCCCCTTTTGGTCTCACATTTTCTGTACTTAGTACCTTCTGCAAGATGAACAAATTTTGATCAAAATTTGATACCAACAGACAGGATTTTGTCTAAATTAGATAATTCTAATGATGCGTTAATTTTCACTGTGATGAGTCTTCAGAAACATTTGAAGTAGGAATGTGAAGCCTTTGCTATAATACTCTCTGAGTATTATAGAACAAATTCTAAAACCGTGTGATGCAGGCATGCAGCTTTACATCTAGATGCTTTTTGTTGATTAGAATCTAGTAGAATCTCTGAGAGGAAAGACTTGCTATGTTCAGTGTAATCACCACAGTGGTCTGCCAGCTTGGCTGGGTTTCTGCTTGTGCCAGAGCATCACTGAGCCTGCTGGGCTATCTAATATGGGAATGGGAGCATGTTGCTCTCTTTGTGAAATACAGGCTAGTCCTGACAGCTAGAACTCAACTGCATTTGATAGGATAAGTCCTGAACACCTCCCAGATTGAATTTAACCCATGGAGGTATAAGTCTATGGGTTGTCACAGGCTGGGCATTCTCTGGATTGCAGCAGTGTACCTGTGAAGTAATGGAGACATGTGTGTGTCCCTTAAACATAAGCAAATATAAAGACATCAAAGAGTTTCTGTTGCACAGGGAAAAGTTGTTTTCCCCCTGTGCCTCTTCCCTCTGGACTCTTTTGGTTTTATTTATAACTGCCATCTTTCAAAGGAGCTAATATCTACTTATTTCTCTCCATGCTAGGCAATTATTGCACTTCAGGCAACTTTCAGAGGACATTTAGGTCGACAGAAACTGTTAATGAAGAAGAGGATGCATGAGGCAAATTCTCATAACGAGGTAATTGTTGGGGCAAATGGGTACCCAGGCATCCCATTATGTTTAGTCTCTAGTGTAAAGTACTTTACTTCCAGACTTAATTCTGTCAGTCACCCAGTGATGTTGTTTTAATGCACTGGTTGGCAGCATAGCTGTCATCCTAGAAAAATACCAAGCTCATTCCATAGCCTCCCATTCCATCTTCTTTAGTTCAGTTTTTCTTTGGATTAAAGCTATAATTTCTCTGCATTATGGACTGTAACTCCTCTTTTTCTTTTTTTTTTTTTTTAATGGTTGTCCCATCAGGTAATAACATACCCTTTAACTCTTTAATTTGGGGTGCTGTTGAAAACTGTACTTGCTCTCAGTGTTCACTGCTGGATCATTGTAATAATAGATAAACCTTTGTTGCTGAAGTTCAGAAAGAAGAATCTGGAAAGCATCTTTGATGGGATTGAAAAGTAAAGGAGTCTTACATGTGCCATGCTCAACCAAAGAGTTGTGCCCTCTGTCACGTCAAACTTGCTCCAGATTTTTCAGTTCTGAATACGAAAACATCTTGTTACCAATTAAACATTTAGTTTCTCTAAGTCATTTGCCAGCTTAGATGAACATCCTTTAGAACTTTAGCAGGCTAATTTGTAATTCTCCATACCGGTTTTCTGTCTGGTTGCACTTTACATGCACTTTTCTTTTGGTAAACTGGCCCAATGGTTCAGTAGTAGGATTGAATACTTTTGCTTGATACAAGCAGAAGATGTATCTGTGAGTTACAAAGGTTGTCTTAACTCCTTTGACTTCAAAAGGTTTCCTTCCTGGAAAATGAATGAACTTCCCTTGCAGGTGTTTGCACTTTCATTAATTGAATACAGATGCTTCAAAGCTTGTGCGATGATCAGATTTGCATTTCCTGCTGATTTAGTCTCATAGAACCTTAAAGACGGCAGACCAAAAGATGGGAATATTTGCTCAACTACCACTTTCATAATCGGAAGAAAGATTGTGAAAGCTTCTGTGCAATCTGTAAAGGTCAGTTTTCTTTTATCTGATTGCTTTGCAGAACTCCAGCAGGTCTTCCATGTCAGACTCCTCGAGCTCATCTTCTGATTGCAAGGAGAAAGATGAGATGCTACCATTCATCCAGTCTGCTTTCAGGGCTCACTTAGCACGTAAAGAACAGCTTGTGGAGAGGTAAGTGAGGGACAGATACTTCTGCAACACGCAGTAGCAAAATTGGTTTTATTGCAGGGGTGGGGTAGTTATTTAATACAATTTTAGTGTTGGTTTCTTGGCAGAGAAGGCAAACAAGACCATTATTCCAACAAAGGGAGGACTTACTTGTGAAAAAATCCAAAGGATATGCAACTAAAAGGGTTTCTAGTGGCAGTAGCGGTCTTCCCATGTCCTGTTGCATTCTCATTTCTATATAAGTGAGAAAAAGTAAAGTAAAATAATTAGTCCTTGGAAAAAAAATCAAAATACAATTGTTATCAAACTGATAGCTAATACACCTTCTTAATGTAAGGGGATCTGAAGCTCTGACATGTAAAAGTTAAGGGTTATTTGCAGGAAGAACAGGGAAGAGCTAGAATCTAGTGATTTAGCTCAGGAAGAATACAGTGATTTGCTTACTGCTTAGGTTTGTGGTGACTGTGCCTTGAAAAATACTCCTTTCTCTCCAAGGTTTACTCCTCAGAAAGTTTTTAATGTTGGCTGCCATGGTTACAAAGAGAGTTAAGCTGTCACCTCACTTTAGTGTCTGGAGCTCACTTCTGCAAGTGATAAGCTTTTGTTTCTTGGACGCTAGCAACATAAACTTTTCAGCATGCACTCTGAAAACAGGCTGCAGTTACTTCTCTGTTCCTCACGCGATGCATTATGTCTTTCTTCCCTCTGTGTCCACTGCATTACATGAGAAAGGAGATTCTGCAGTTCACAGTCCAGAGAAGAAACTGGTTTTAGCAGGAGTCCAGAGGTGACCTTCAAACATCATGTTGTCTCTTCCTGGTAATTTCATTTTCCTCTATGTTTGAAAGTAATTGAGTGGGTGCACACAATTTTATAGAGAACATCTGCACATGCAGATGCATAATTGAACTCTGTGTCTTCTTTTAACTTGATGACATGTTGCTTATACTGGCAAGTGCAGTTCCTTACATAAAAAAAGCTTTGGCAGTATCAGTACCAGCTTCCTCACAAGTGCTTTGCCTTTTTTGTCACAACTGTGGTTTGGAGGGTCTCTCTCTGATGTGAGTGGTAATTATTCAAGGAACATGATGTTCCCCTGGATTGCCTCTCTTCTCTGTTTTTAATCCCCTTAGCTCTGTTGCTGTAGTATGGTACTTTCCACTGTGTTTCGGGCCTGAAGCCATAGACAAGCTGAGAATGTTTTCATCATCCTTACTTAGTTTCTGAAGGGGACAGACATCTGGTAAAAAGAACCATCCTAGTCAGCCATGTGTAACATTGTTTTCAGCAGTCTTCAGATGCTGCAGTAAAGAGAAAAATGAAGTCCTGGGTAACTTTGCCAACTAGTACTACTATAATACAAACTGGGAAAATGTCTTTCTCTTTTCTATGGCTTTTACACCATTTGGTTTACTTCTTGTATTCCTCATTGCTCTTTGTGAAAAGATGGAATTAAAGCCAAAGAGCCTTTTTAAGAGGATGTTGGAAGTACTCGGTATGAAAGGCAAAACAATGCTGCAGGTAACGCAGCCTTAGACATGCAGCTTCAAAGATGTTAAAACCAAAGTGAAACAGGTTGGTTATATCCAGAGTGGGATATTTCAGGCTTTTACAGACTAGCTAGAGAAAAAAGAGCAGTTTTGAGGGTGACTTGAGAAACATCAACTTGCTTTTTGTCAATGAAAAGCTGACAGTCCCTGTAGACTTGCTCAGAAACAGAGCATACTGGAAGCAACTGAGGCTGTTTCTCTAAGATAGGAGATGGGAATAAGCCAGATTTGCAGGGATTGTGAATGCAAAGGTTACCCTTCAGTGAAGGAAAATGCATTTAAGCAACTTTATTTTATTCCATATTCAGAGGCTATTCTACTTTATGAAGGAGTAGAAAGTACTTGCTTATGAAGACATTAGAGTTTTAAGTGATTTTAGTTATGCCTAGTGCTAGCGCTCAGAAAAAAAGTGCTGCAGCATCCTGTTTTGCCTGGGCTTTGCTACAGTAGTCATTAGCGGTATGCCCAGTCTAACCCAGAGAAAGTAGTTGTAAAGTTCTACCCAAGGATAAAGAATCACTAAAGCAAAAAAACCCCAAAACTAAATGCTTTGTGCTTCTGAAGAAGTGCTTCTAAGACCCAAGGAAGGGTGTAAGATGAAGCTACTCTGGTAAATGCAATAGTATGCATACTCATACATCACAGTCACTGTCTAGCTATGAAGTCTCTAAAGCTGAACTTTATTGCAGATTGTGATGACTTCTTGGTAAGTGAAGTAGTTCTGGAAGAATTTATACCAGAAAGGATAGAGAGCCATAAGCATTCAAACTTTCTTCCTTGCAGCCCTTTTCTGGCAAATATAAAAACAATGAGAGATTGGGAGCAAAGCAAGTTGTATTTGCTGCTGATCTTAAGCATATATGAGGTGTTCCCAAAATCTGGGATGAGGATAGAATGCGCCAGGAACAGCACCAAGGGCATCAAGGTGCCAAGCCTGGGCCCATCACTACAGGAGAGATACTGAGGTGCTGGAGCAGGGCCAGAGAAGGGCAGTGGAGCTGGTGCAGGGCCTGGAGCACAAGTGTGATGGGGAACAGCTGAGGGACCTAGGGGGGATTAGTCTGGAGAAGAGAAGGCTCAGGGGGGACCTCATCACTCTACACAACTACTTGAAAGGAGGTTGTAGTGAGGTGGGGTCGGTCTCTTCTCCCAAGTAACCAGTGATAAGTGGAATCAGCCTGCGCCAGGGGAGGTTTAGACTGGATACAAGGGACAATGTCTTCACTGAGAGGGATTGGAACAGACTGCCCAGGTGGAATCATTGTCCCTGCAAGCGTTCAGACACCGAGTAGACAAGGCCTTTAGTGGCATGGGTTAGTGGTGGCCTTGGCAGTGCTGGGGTAATGGATGCAGTGGATGATCTCAAAGGTTTTTCCCAACACAGATGATTCTGTGATTCTAAGTGACTGGATCCATTTTGGGGTTATTTTGGAGGGGAAGGTGCTGGTCTGAGCGAAGGGGACGTCCTTTGATGCTGCTGTAGGTTTGATGCCGTGGGGGCCTCTGCAACTCACCCCCATGCGCCAAGGCGCCATGTTACGGCACGAGTCCCGGTGGCGACCCCGGCGCGCCAGGGCCCGAACCCGCCGCGGCTGCTCCCAAGGCCACCTGAGCCGTGGGCCCGGGGCCGCGGAGGGTGGGCGGGGCGAGCCCCGGCGGCGCCAATGGGAGCGGGCGGGCGGTGCTGGGCGCGGAGGCGGTGGAGCCTCTCCGCGAACAAAGAGGGAGCGAGCGGCGCGGCGGGAGGGAGGAGGCAGGCAGGAGGCGGGGGGTGCCGGCCATGAGGGGCCGCCGGTGAGGAGGGAGCCAGGCGGGCAGCGGCGCTCCATGGCCGGCGGGTCGGGGTGAGGTGAGGCGAGGCCAGGCGCGGCGGGCATGGCGGGCGTCAGCTACTCGCCGCCCTGGTGGGTGAGCCTGCTGCACCGCCTGCCGCACCTCAGCCTGCGCTGGGAGCTCACCTCCGCCGACTTCCGACCGCACGACGCCGAGTACCAGCAGGTAGGTCCCCATACGGGATGGGGGGGTGTTCGCTGTGCAGGGCAGGGGACTCGGCCCGCTGGGCTGTGGAGGGGGTTCGGGGTGCCCGGGTGGGTGCCGGCCCGCACTGTTCCGTGTGGTGCGCGGCCACCTCACGGGGCGGCTGCCTCCCCGCTGGGCTGGGGGTCAGGGTCTTGCTGGCCTGGGCCGGGGGCAGGAAGCTGTGACCCCGCAGCGGGGTGGGCAGGAGCCCCGCGCAGCTTCCAGCGTGCTGGAAACCCAAGTTGTTCTTGGGAGGTGGTGAAAGGATCCCCTGGAAGGGGAAGCGGGGGGCAGCCCTGGCCAAGTGCCCCCTCCGGGTTTCTGCGCTGCTGCCAAGCCATGGTGTCCAGGCGAAGCCACTCTCCCGGCCACATCCCGCTGGCTGGATCATAACCCATCATCGCTGAGGATAGCCGCTCTGCCCCATGCAGCTGCAGTGACCGCTCTTCAGCCAGCCCCGCGCTGCCACGACCTGCGGAGAGGCCAGCAGCGCGTTCCAAAACCGACTGCCTGCCTGCTGGAAAACAGATGACTTAATGCACGAGAGAGAGCGGCGTTAGCATCAAGTGCACAGGAAGATGCGCTCAGAATACTCGTGCGCTGCCTTTTTTCCATTAATGCTGCTTAGGCTGTGCTTGGTTGGCTAGGCATGTAATTAAAATGATTGTGGAGTGAATCTGTGTGCTCTAACATCTGTGTTCTCTGCTGTCATCTTGGAACAGAGCTGCAGTGGCTCTGCTGCCTTGTTTTGCCACGGTCTCTGGTTTTGAAAACACCATTTTGCTTTTCTGAACATACTCGCAGTGTCCTATATACACCGCAAGCTGACACGCACACAGGCAGAAAGGCTGGAGCATCTAAACAGTTCCCGTTTATCCTAGGAGTATAAGGTATTAGAAATACTTTAGAAAGCAGTATGGTTTGCCTTTTTGTTTTAAACAGAGGAACAGATCTGTGGGCTGAAGCTAGGGCAAAATGTGAGAGGTTAATTTAAAGAGCAATGGGTAGATACAGAGAAACATCCTTAAACCAGTAAACAAAGCAGACTTTTGACCTAACTTTTGTGTTTGGGGCTTCAATTTGTTAATTTGTTTTAGTTCCTTTGGCTTAGCAGAGTTCAAGATGGCCACACACAGATGTAATGCTGCACGGCAGCTTAACTGCATTGCCCTGACCTCAGAGGGTAGCTGCCGTTACAACAAGGGATATGAGATGCTGAAGATCAAAAGTTAAAGAGTTCATGGAAGGATGTTCTTGGGAGTGTGTTATCATGAAACAAGCACTCATTGACCTTTGAATAGACAGCAGATGTATTGGTTTTGCTTAAATTGCTTAAAAGCATTCCTTGCAACAGTCTGGGGCTGTGTTCATTTGTCAGATAATTTTTCTACAGTAATCATATTCTGACTTAAAGCCTTCTGCTGCTCTTCTCCTGTGTAGCTGCCTCCCCTCCCTTGATGATATTAAGGACTTCTTGCACAGCAGTAAATGGCCCTTTAAGTCTTAACCATCAGCTCACAAGAAAACATCTTATCAAATCCAAACCTGAATGTCTAGATTACAGAAGCATCTGTTGTCAAGAAAACGATTTGAGGAGCAGCAGCAGCAGCTTTGCTGGTTTGGGGGTTGGTGAAGGATAGCAAGCAGGCTCCAGTAACACAGCCTGGGTGATCAGTGTCGCTGGTTGCATAACGAAGCTGCTGTGGCTCTGCAAGTTGACTCCAGAGTTCATAGCCATGTAGATTAATTCTAATGCAGTGAAACAAGGAAACTTAATCCTGGAGTGGGAACTCTAATGCTAAAGGCTCTCTCATGCTTTAAATTTTTCTGAAGGCCTTTTGGGTTTGAGCATTTTCTGTTAGCTTTGTTATGGATTTCTCTGTTTGTAGCCTGTGCTGGTATAGTTTTCCCTTTTCTTTAGGAACCTTTTATATTAAGCAGGTGAGATTGTCAATTTTTTAATTTAAATTCTGAATATTTTTCTTCTTTATTCTATTTGTAAGAAAATTGGCACAAAATGTGTGGGTGTTTTTGTTTTCTATTCCATTAGTGGTTGATACCCCTGTTCTTAAGTATAGGCTGTTAAACTGCATGCTGCACTTGAGGTCTCCAGTGGCTGGAGAGGTTGGGGGATGCTAGCTGGGAGTTCATGGGGATGGGAAAGGGCAGAGTGTCCTAGCTCTGTGTTCCTGGTAAGGAAAGATTACCTTTGCTAAACTGAAAATACCTTTAAGTTTCCATGACTTCAAGTCATCGGGTAGCTGGGCTCTTGTCATAAATAAGCATATGGCAAGGCTCAGTGTCTGTTCTCATTCTGACTTTTTATAAGGAAATAAGTAATGTACCCATTCTGATTTTCCACTGCTCGTCTAGAAAAGATTTCCCAACGCCTGACCAAGGGAAAACATTGTTTTCCTTCTAAACCTGTTTTCTTTAGTAACCTCTTGGTAAAGACCTACCTTTTTCTTTGTACTCTTGTTTTGATGATAGGCTTTGAACTTGTGCATCAGCTGAGCATCTCTCTTCAACCAAAAGTGAAACACAGTGGCTTGGATTTGAATGTTGTCATGGCACTTGTTGCCGTGCCACGTGTTTCTTGCAGGTGAGGAGGCTGCTCATTTAACAGGCTTTCCACCTCTACCTAGCAAGGATTACTGTAATGCACAAGCTGCTATTCCACTGAAGCAGCAGACAGGTTATTGTCCCCTGAGCCCTCTCTGGAGCACATGTAGCTCACAGATAAGTGTGTACTACTGGTCTTTGAAGTCTAGGTCTTTGTTATGTCTTTTGGGACTCTGGATGATGGGGGTTATCTAGATGATGTAGATCTAATGACTAGTTATTCCGTTTTGTCGCATGTAGTCCCTTTTCTCAGAGCAGGAGGGACACCCACTGTGCACCGGCCTGTCTCAAGGCAGCTGTGTCTATTGTGTACCAACCTACAGGGGCTTCCTCCTTTTGTCTGAGAGCTTGAGAAATACTTAGGGCAATGTTGCTGCCAAGGGCTGAGATCAATGCAGCTGCAGGTTTTGGCTGTGTACCTCTGTCACCTGAATCAGTCTCTACAATGCTCTCTCATTAGTATTACTTCTTATCTTCTCCCACCGCGTATCATGTTGCACTGGGTTAGAACAATGTGTGCAAGTGTAGAGATCCTTTCCCCTCTGGACTGGATTCTTTAAAAATGTATGTGTGTCCTTCAGATGCTTCCATCATGACAAGCTGTGGACAGCAGTATAACTAGTTCTTTCCTTTTCTGGGGTAATGGAGCTGAGCTTCAGTGTAGAATGCGGTTGTGATCCTTTTTCTCCAGGGGGTTTGGCATGTTTCTGAGTCCTGTCAGAGTTGTCTTTATGTGCTGCTTGCAGGACTTGCTCCATGGAGTCATCCCCATAGAATCATCCCCATAGAGGATCTTATCAGACCAGTTTGTTTCCTAACCCTCCCATGGATCACTGGGGTTGAAGATATCTTGATATGAACAGTTTTGTTCTGGCTGTACTCTCATCTGAGTCATACTGCAGTGCTCTGCAAAGCCTTTTGATTGTGTAGTGAGTCACAAACTCTGGAGTGAAGGGAATGTAAAAATGGAGCAAAGCTTGTGTTCCTTCTGACAGCACCATGCTAATGCCAGTTCTGGTCTCTGTGCCTTTTGCTGCTGAACAAATGATGGTGATCTTGCCACTACTGTCCACTTCCTTTGCAGTTCAGTTAATCACACCAGTAAGATGGTCCTGAGACAGCAGCTGTCATTAGTTTAATCTCTTTAGTAATCGAAGTACTTCTACTTGTGACTCAGTTGCATGGCATTGAATTCACTTTATTTCTCAGGGTAGTGTTGGTTAAGTGCCTTGAGATAGCATGGAGGTTACAGGCTGCAAAGAAGTAGAAAAGCTGAATAGCTTTTTAATACAGCACAACAACAGGTAATGGGTTACGTGCTTGAGACAGGGTGTCTTTGGTAGTGACAGAAAAGGAGCCTGCAACACTTTATTGTAGCTCTTAAGTCCCAGTGTGCCAAGAAGCATATGACAGTGAAGAAAAGAGGCTGTAAAAGCTAAGCTGCAGAGCACATTGACTTGAATTTGTGCTTTTCCTTAATAGCTGGGAGATGGCAATGTTGACCTGAATCTGTGTAAATGCATGGCTTATGTGTGAATCAGGCTGGAATACAGCAAAATTCTCCAGCATTTTTGAAACTCTTGCCTTATACCACTCTCGTGCTTTTTCTGTGAGAGTCAGAACTGCAAATGCATGGGTAGTAGGTGTAATGGCAACTGTATGTGCTTTGGGAAAAAAGATTGGATGATTGATTCATACCAATTAAGATGCAGAACCATGCTAAAAGAAGGATTGGTAAGAACAGGCGTATGCTTTAGCCCTTGGTCTTTTTAGTGTTGTCACCCAGGAGTTTCCTATCATACATCTGTTAGTGCTTTTGTGTTCTTTTTCTGCTACTGTGTTCAGGGTGGATCCAGCAGTGAAAGGTACTGGGTAAACCCAACGATGCTTCCCTTTTTTGTGGCTTGCAGACTCTAATCCAAGGCATGTGTATTTGAACCTGTAGCCAAAGATTCAGCAAGGAATTAATTGTGTCAGGTACTCTCTGGCTTTGTGAGACTGTTTCCTTACACATAACAACTAATGTCATCTTTGGAAGTATTCCTTGGCTGGAGAAATGTGATGGAGCCTAAACTGCCAAAAAACTTGGGTTATAGAGATTGTGTTAGAACTTCCTCTACTGTACTGGCATCTTATTTCGATTCTGAAACCGAGAGTCTTTCTGTAAATTAGAAACATGTGTATTAGTCAAGTTGGATGACGTGTTTTTGTCTAGTTGGCTCAGAGTCAAAGGGTAATGTGCCTTTCTTAAAGGGGTTAGACTGAAGGTTTCTTTCTTTCAAGAATAGATGGGCCATTTCCAAGATCTGATCCTGCTATTGCACTAGTTTGCTCATATTTCCAAAAAGGTTAGGTGA